GCAAAGACACTCAGGCATGAATGAACTTGCCCATAAATAAATTCTTAGATTCCTCTTGCCTTATATATACCTGCTGTATACATGATGTGAAATTTGGCTCTACATGAGAATATGACAGATTATATCTGAACTATGCCTAACTCTCTTGTCATTGTGCTGTTCCTTGTTAAGAACGTCAGGTCATGGGAGAGTTCTAAGGCCTCTCAAGTTAGTATATCCAGGCTTTAAAGACCATTTTTGCAGTGAAGTCTCATATGTTGTTCAATTAATTATTGCCATAGACAACTTTCTCTGGAAATAAGTGCACAGGGAGAGTTCATATTGACCTGAAACCCTATGGCAGGAATTCCTCTATAGAGATGGTGCAGGCCTCTTTGTGAAGAAAGGAGATGATGAATGGAGTGGTATGATTGAGGTTGAAATGAAGAAGGTAATTCTTGAAAGGTAATTACCATTTGTAAACCAGTTATGTCATATCTGGTTTCTCTAAATTCCTTGTCTGGAAAGAATATCATTATGGATTCTATCAGGACAATAGAGTCACTATAAACATTATCAGAATGTGTGATTTCTTAAATCTCAATGGAGCTGTAGAAATAAAGGTCTAGAAGGGAGTAAGAGATTCAGAAAAATCATCTCCAACCAATACTCTCCACCTGTCTCACAGGCAGGTCTTACAGGGGAAAGCAAAAATCAAGTACTTCAGACTGCTGCAGTGCAACAACAAAGATGGGATTTATGGTGAGGTCTATGGAGACCTGTGGGAAGTTGTTGCCTGCATGTAGCTACTGCCTCTGTCAGTCCAGAGTCAAGCATTTGGTTGAGGATCTGGGGTCACTTGGCCAGCAGGGCTAGCAGCTAGGAAGATAATTTGAATGCAGAGAAGAGGAAGGATAATGACAATTGGAATTTCTCATTCTTTTAAAAAGTACCAGGGCCCTAGCAAAGAAGGAAAGAAGGTTGATAGATTGCCACAGATATTTCATCTATATAATTCCAAAGGCATAATAATCTTCCAAGAGTGAAGTACATTTCTGTTTTTCATTTCTTTAGATTTGAGCCACAGATGCAAAATAGATCATGAAGCCAACTGTTTATTTACAGTTAATATTTGCTTCCTTTTTCAAGAACGCCACTTAATAGGCCAAATATAACTTACAGGTGCCTCAAAAATGGGAACATCAAGTAACCCGGACCCAAGAGAATTCTGGGCTTAAGTGAGGTTCAGAGTCTAATGATCCGTAGTGTCTAAATGCTCCCAGAGTTCACAGCATTATGTATTTCTAGTTAGTTGACATGATAGCCCTTGAACAGTAGGTTCCTATCTAACATGTGTTCCTGGACTTCTCCCAAAATGTTCTAGTTCAGTTCAGAGTTCAGCGCAAATTCAGTTGCAGTTGCTGCTGCTGCTGCTTCTCTTCCACTTTTCTTTCTACCTGTCAGTACACACTGAAAATTCATCCATCCTTTTCCTGAGAAGGAGGCCATAGGTACTAGGAGGTATGAGTATGTGACTATGTGTGAAGTCTAATGAAGATTTTGGTGAGCTTGGTTAGCTTTCTTGAGTGAGCAGTTCAAGCTAGCTCATCCCGGAGTAGTGGACAATACTATAATATACATGGGAGGTCCCATATCAAGACCACACCCAATAACCATGTGGGCCTTGTCATCTGAATGGTCATTCTAGCTCCAGGGATTCCAATGGTATTGGCTAAAGCTATTGCTTGACTCCTCACTCTTCCTACTCCTGCTTCCTTCCTCTCCCTTCAACAGATATTGGTCACATGATACTCCTTAGTCCCATGATTCACTAAACTCAATCTCACAGTCTACTTTCTGGAAATCCTACCTGCAACACCTTTATAGCTTGTAAAAGCCTTTGTTTGAGCTATGCTTGGAAAGACAGATGGCTAATCTTCCACTTTGCTTTCCTCTCCTCAGGTACTAGCCCTGTGGTGAGGTTATGGATTAAACATACATTGTTGGTGTAAAGACAATATGTGCAATTAAGAGTTTAGAAGGAAAAAAGTGACCAACAAGAGCTTGCAGTTTCCAAAATGTGGTATTTCTGGCTTCACTCCTTTACACAAAAAACCAAAGAAATAATGCCAAGATTATTGCCAACAATATCTCTGAACTCAAATATTAAGACATTTCCTGGGGCTACAGAGAAGTAAAAAAAAAAAAAAAAAATCCAAGCAGATGGTAAGAGAATCAAACTTCCATATCCATGATATCCTTTTCTCCCATGTGCCTGACACCAGGTGTGTGTAAAATCTCCCCCCAGCTCACAGTTTCTTCAGTGGAAAAAGTAAGACTCAGGTGAACAGCCAGCTTCTCCACAATCTTGAGTTTTCTGGTGAGAAACCTTTCCCTGGCTCAACCCACAAGAAGTGTTGGGAGTACCAGAAGGGTGAAATATCCTTGAGGAAAGCCAGAGACAAAGTGGGGAGGTAGAAATACCATCCTTATCTCTGGAAACTCTGATCTATAACCTGGCCAAAGGAGATGGCAAATCAGAGTGGCTGTTTAGCAGTACCACACTGTTGAAGTTCATCTCACAGGTTTCCTGGATAAAAAACCCTAGCAGCCTTCCCATACTACTGGAATATCCTTTTTGGGACCTCTCCCATTCAAGATGGACAGCACTTTTATCATTTACTAAAACTAAGGCAAATCTGGGCTTAAGGCACCAACCATCTAGTGTTGAAAAGGAGGCAGTGACCCAGAGGGGGGAAAAAAAAAAAGAAATAATCAATAGGTAAATAACAAAGAACTTCTGAACAAACATAGCTAATAAAAATAAAAACTAGCCAGACAGAGAAGACTGGAATAAATAGCTGATCACTCAGTGCACATCCCTCAATGCACAGTGTTCATCCATAAGAAAACAACAGCAGGCCGGCGTGATGGTACATGCCTGTAATCACAACACTTTGGGGAGTCAGGGTGGGCAGATCAGGAGTTGAAGGTCAGGAGTTTGAGACCAGCCTGGCCAACATGGTGAAACCCAGTCTCCACTAAAAATACAAAAATTAGCCACGTATGGTGGCAGGCACCTGTAATCCTAGCTACTCAGGTGGCTAAGGCAGGAGAATTGCTTGAATCCGGGAGGTGGATGTTGCAGTCAGCCAAGATTGCACCACTGTACTCCAGCCTGGATGACAGAGCAAGACTCCATCTTGTTGGGGGAGGGAGGGAAACAACAGTAGACAGGGAACCATAACATCCTCAAACTAAGCACAGACCCTAACAACTGCTCTTAACAAGATGGTGATATGTGAACTCTCTGACCAGGAATTCAAAAATAGCCATTTTAAGGGAGCTCAGTGATATCCAAGAGAATACATAAAAGCAATTCAGAAGTTTATCAGATAAATTTAACCAAGAGATTGAAATAATAATTTAAAAAAATCAAACATAAATCTTTGAACTGAGAGATACATTTGCCAAACTGAAAAATTTATTAGAGGCTCTTAACAGCAGAATAAATCAAGCAGCAGAAAGAATCAGTGAGCACAAAGACAGTCTATTTGAAAATACATAGAGGAGAAAAAAGAAAAAAGAAGAATGAAAAGTAACAAAAATTTTTATATCTTTTTTAAGATATAAAAAATTACTTTAAAAGCCTAAGAATTTGTGGTGTTCAAGAGAGAGTTAAATAAGCAAGGGGCAAAAAGCTTATTCAAAGAAATAATGACAGAAAACTTGCCAAAACTCAAAAAGAAGATAAATATCCAGGTACAGAAAGATCAGAGAGCACCAAAAAGATTTGACTAAAAGAAGATAACCCCAAGACATATAATAATCAAACTCTCGAAGGTCAAGGACAAAGAGAGGATCCTAAAAGCAGCAAGAGAAAATAAACAAATAGCATGTAAAGGAGCCCCAACTTGTCTGGTAACAGACTTTGCAATGGAAACCATACAGACCAGGAAGGAGTGGGTGGACATTTTCAAAGCACTAAAAGAGAGGGGGGGAAAAAAAAAAAAAAAAAACTGTCATCCAAGAAAACCATATCCAGCAAATCTGTCCTTCAGGTATGGAAAGATTCAGTCTTTCCCAGACAAACAAAAGCTGAAAGATTCACCACCAACAGATTTTACAAGAAAGGCTAAAGGGAGTTCTTCTGTGCAAGTAAAAAGCCACTAATGTGCAAAATGAAAACAGAGGAAGGTATAAAACACACTGGTAAAATTAAGTACATGGACTAATCCAGAATAATCTAATAGTGTAATTATGATATGCAATTCACTCATAACTCTAATATGGAGCCCCACAACAAAGCTATAAAAGACAATATTGCCTACAACCTGTTAAGAGATAGGCAATATAAAGATATATAAATTGAGACAACATAAGTCAAAATGTGAAATGGATGTGGTTAAAGTGTAGAAGGTTTTCAATTTTTTTCTTTGTTACATTGTTTCTATTCTTTGAGTCCTGAGATAAGTTGTCATATTTTGGAAATAATTTGTTACATTTGTAAGATATTTTTTTCTAACCCTTATGGTAACCACTATACAAATCCTATAATACAGTCACTAAAAATAAAAAGCAACAAACTAAAAAATACTACTCATATCACTTTCACAAAGGAAGTAAAAGGAAGGCTATAAGAAAGAAAGGAAAAGAGGAATTACAAAAAGCAACATGAAAAGAAGCTAGAAAATATGTAGTAATAAGTTCTTATCAATAATAGCATTGAATGTAAGTGGATTCAAACAAAAAGGCAGACAGTGGCTGAATGGATAAAAAAACAAAACCCAACACCAGAGCTCTCAAGTATGTAAAGCAAATATTAATACATTTAAAGGGGGAGATACACAGCAATACAGTAAGAGTAGAGGACTTAACATCCAACTCTTGCTAATGGACGGATCATTTAGATAGAAAATCAACAAAGAGAGGCACATATTCTCAGGATCTCCTGAGGGCTGACTCATGGGCCATGGTCACTCATATTTGGCTTAGAATACATCTCTTCAAATATTTTATAGAGTTTGACTCTTTTGGTCAACAATAACTTGGCACCCAAACGTGTTGATTCAGAGAAGGCTCAGGACCCCAAAGGAATTACCCAAAGTTGGAGCTAAGGTACCAGCAGAGGCCCATTGAAAGCCTCCCCAACTTCAAGCTTCTCATTCAGTGGCACTGGTAAGTCCTCCTGAGCCTGTGACCTCCCTTTGGTTGATGGTCCTTGATTTATTCTGAGCTGTTTTTTTTTTTTTTCTTTCCTAGGAAGTTGTGGTTTACAGATCCTATTTTAGTTCAAAAGTGTGTTCTAAAGGATCTTCTCCATTGCTTTTTCTCCAAAATTAATCTCTATTTGCCTTGTCTGTGCAAATTTGCATGAGGAACCAAACTGTTGTTTTCATAGACAAATGAGAGACTGAGTTTTCTCAGCTCCAAAGAGAAAGATCATTTTGCTCCTCCCAGCTGAAAGGTGCCTCTGGGCAACCAGGGGCCTTGTGGGAATGTATAGTTTTCAGGTTGACCTTGGGGCTCTTTTTCCTTGATATAAATGTGCACAAAGGCCATAATATTTCACAGTGGGGTTGAACCCCCTGTAAGGTATAGCAGCCCTACAAAGAACACTCAACAAAATTAGTTTTAAAAGCCTCATCCAGGAAGCACATAAGGGAGCTAGTCACTTCCCACTTTGGGTCCTCCTGGAGGTGCTTAGACCCCTGCAAAGAGAAACAGACAGGCAAGAGGATGGCAATGACTCACTTGTGATACTATGGAGTCCCATCTGTAACCAGCCTATACTTCGACCCATTCCGCCAAGACCCTAAGCCACAGCTCAGTTCTTCCTTTTAAGAAGAAAAACAACAACAACAACAACAAAGAGAATGACCCCCTTTTGGGCACTCTGTTGGTTTTATGGCACGCTTACTTGATAGAGCTTGTGTAAAATGGAAATATGATGGTCTTTGTGCACACTTATATAAAGGAAAAAGAACCCCAAGGTCGACCTGAAAACTATAGAGTTCCTAAGTTCTCTTTTTCCCTATTTTCTTTTCTGCCTGCTTTAAATCTCTTGTTACTTTTCTGCTGAGATAAAAACCACTGTTTGGATCCAACCATTGGCTTTTTTTCCTTTTTTTACAAACTGGTGAGTTTCTATTAATACTTCATGGGTAAAGTTCTGAAGTAAAAGCTATAGGATCTCTCTCTCTCTCTCTCTCTCTCTCTGTGTGTGTGTGTATGTGTGTGCTTGTATTTTTAAAAGGACTTTTTGTTTTTTGTTTTTTTTCCTATGATCCTGTTCTTCTTGATAAAGTTTTTCTTAGTTATTGACAACTTGGGGTTCCTTAAAGAAGACAGAGAAGGCACCAAACTCCTTTTTAAGGAGAAACTTCTTTTTCTTTATGAAACCCCAAAAGTAAACAGACAAGTTTGCTCTCAGATCTTTAACTGCTTACTTGTATTGCATTGTGTTGCCTGATTTGTTTTTCCAATTACAATAGTTATTGCAACAGAAGATACTCTTAGCTCTTTAAAATAAGAAAGAGTGTACTTTAGACATTTAGAAAAATGTCTCTGTAAAAAAAGAAGTGCACTATAAAAGCATGGTCTAGCCTCAGAATAATTCTTTTTGGAGACCCAGATACAGTATGGACTCTGCCCAAAGCTGAGGTCCAGTTGAATGATGGAGACTAAAATAAAAAGTACTTATATAATAAAATTGGTCTCCTTATACAATCCTGTGATCAATTATATAATTTAATATATAATTAATAATTAAATCCATTTTAATTTTCCTCTAGCACACCACACTTTCTCTCTGTATTTTGAGATAAATTTCACTATCTGATTTTTCACCTAAGAGTTGCTTCCTTTAATATGCAAATTTGGGACTATTTAGCTGACAACTGCCTAGGGTAATGAAACAGGTTATCAAGAATTTGAAACTCTAAGACAGGGAAAAAAAAGAGGTATTACAAAATCTATAAGATATGCTTCTATCTGTGTGCCTAATACATCTATGTTGTTATGTGTTGTGTATACAATGTTTCACTACTAAAAATATATAAAAGAGCTGTAATTAATTGGCTTAAAGAAAAATAAAAGCAATTAAATCACATACTTTATTTAAAAAAGAACACTAGTCAAATTCTTTTTCAAGTTCACGCAACTTAAGTAAAATTTTTTTTTGTAAAATTTTTAATTAATAAGCTGACTTTAAAGTTATTGGTAAAATAATACTAGGAATGTCTTAAGAATTGTTAGCATTTTTGTTTGCACTTATTGATCAAGTGGTTTCGTGCTTATTCCTGCAGAACACTATAATATTTGCCATAAAGGTTATAAAACTATAAACGCAGCCCCAAACAGAATGATCTTCGCTTGCATAATTTTTCATAAATAAGGCATGTAATATTGTTGGTTTAATGAAGACAGCTAAATCCTGAGTTATTGGTAAAAGTTACATTATATTTAACCATAAGTTTCCTTACTTAAGTAACACCTGAAATTCATAGTTTACAACATTGGTTAACAGAGAATTACTGTAAGTAATGACTCATGGTTTTTGTAAATAATCTAGGTAAACAAATAAATTAATCAAGTAAATGTAAGGGAGCAAATTCTTGTAAACAATCATCATATAATTTAGGATCTAAGGTCATTAATAGATATTAAGTGACTGGGTAATTTTCCAATTTAAAAATTGTAAGACAACTTTTTTTAATGTTCTTATTAAAAGGTAAATATCTTTGTCTAATTCGAAGCCTATTTAAAGGTTATGTAAAACAAGGTAAAAGGAAGCAGAAAATAAGAGATGTAAAGAAAGTTATAGATATAAATTTGTATTTTTTTGGTCAGGCACAGTGGCTCATGCCAGTAATGCCAGCATTTGGGAGGCCAAAACGGGCAGATTGCTTGAGGCCAGGAGTTTGAGACCAGCCTGGGCAACACAGTGAAACCCTGTCTCTACTAAAAATATTGATGCAAGAATTAGCCAGGTGTGGTGGTGCACATCTATAATCCTAGCTACTCAGGAGGCAGAGGTTGTAGTGAGCCAAGATTGTGCCACTGCACTCCAGCCTGGATAACAGAGTGAGATTCTTTCTCAAGAAAAACCCCAGACCACGCATGGTGGCTCACGCCTATAATCCTAGCAGTTTGGGAGGCCGAGGTGGGGGGGGAATCACTTGAAGTCAGAAGTTTGAAACCAGCCTGGCTGGTTTTTGGGGGTTCATCTTTACTAAAAATACAAAAATTAGTTGGGTGTGCTGGTAGGGGGGAGAGCGGGGGCGGAGGGGGCACCTGTAATCCTAGCTACTTGGTAGCCTGAAACAGGAGAACTTGAACCTGGGAGGCAGAGGTTGCAGTGAGCCAAGATCGGCCACTGCACTCCAGCCTAAGCAACATAGTGAGACTCCATCTCGAATTCAAAAAACAAAAAAACTGAAAACTAAAAAACAAGAGGATTTTTGGTTAAAAAAGAGAAAAGGAAAGTGATTTTATATGAGAAAGAATCTTGTATAGTGAATTTTGTCCTAAAATAAAGTGACTGGGTTGCTCAAGAAAAAGGAATATTTAGGACAAACCAGAAAGTTCAAGGATGTTATAAATGGTCTAAGTCATGATAAGGTTAGTAAAAAGGGAACTTATATAAATGTTATGTGATTAATTGGCTTTAACTGAAGAAAATGATCATAGGTTTCCTAAAATTGAACTTTGATATTAAAAAAACATGAATGCAGAACTAAAAGATTTGGTTAAAACAAAATTTAATTGAAATATTGACTTAATGCAAGAAGTTTTTTTAATTTTTAGATTCTGTAATCTATAATCTGTTTCTTTGAAATTCTTTAGATTGATATCTCAGAAGTTCAGCTTCTCTTTTACAAAGGCCTTGGATGATAACTTTCTCCTTCACTTTTTGTTAGCTCCTGTAATGTTTTTTTTTAAATTAGTAATCTAAAATAAGGGAGAAAAATATTAAAAAGCAGGCAAATAAAATATTTTGTTAACCTTCCTCCTTTTAATTCTGCATGCTTGTATCTCTATATGTTTCATGAAAATGATATTTCACTATCAAACTTCATGTAAGAGCTCTAATCAAGTAATTAAAAAAAAAAAAAAAAGTAAGTGCTTATTAGACTGGTAGAAGCCAGCTCAGATACCTTTTAATTCACATAACCCTGGCAATATTTGATAATTAGATACATTTAATTTCAAAACTCTGTTCAGTAATTAAAAATCTTAAAGTCATGTTATGTTAAATTATTTCATTTTTTTCTCTGAGAATTTGAGTTACTAAGCATTGAAATAATAGGAACATAAAATATGTTTTTGGTGAAGTTTACAAAACACAAGGATGTTTATTTTGCTTAAAAAAAGAAAATAGGGTTATTTTCTAGTTGAACCATTTGAGTTGCTTTAAAATGAAGGACAAATTATACAGATAAAACTAAATGAATAAAAATAACAATGAAGCCAGGACAACAAAAGTTAACTCTGAGACCTGTGGTTACCAAGAAGAGGAGTCAATATGGGGAAAGGGAAAAACCAAATAACCAGCCAGAGGATATAATGTAAATAAATTGTTCTATTTTGTAGATTGGTATCATCAGTTTCTTTTTTTTTTGTTTTGTTTTTTTGTTTGTTTGTTTTTTGAGATAGGGTCTCACTCTGTTGCCCAGGTAGGCATGCAGTGGCGCTATCTCAGCTCACTGCAGCATCCACCTCCTGCGTTCAAGCAATTCTCCTGCTCTCAGCCTTCCAAGTAGCTGGGACCACAGGTGCCCACCATCATGCTTGGCTAATTTTTTGTATTTTTATTAGAGATGGGGTTTCACCATATTGGCCAGGCTGATCTTGAACTCCTGATGCCCACCTTGGCCTCCCTAAGTGCTGGGATTACAGGCATGAGGCACCATGCCTGGCCCATCTGTTTCTCAAAATATCTATGTAGTGGATTGTAAAAATAACCACTTTAAGAACTAAATTTCTTAATTTTAAATCCTACAGAATATAAGGGCTTGTTTGGGTTGAGAAGGACCCACAGTTTACTGTTGAACAATCACTGATGAGTTTATGTGATCCAAATACACAGGAGGTTATTCCTGAGAGAACAATCATCCTAGTGGAGCAGATAAATGTCACTCTGAGGTCCGTTTGCCCTGAAAAGGAAACTGCCTAATTCTCCCTGTAATATACCAAGTGGAACACCCCAGATGAAGCAGTTAATATGCTTCATATGTAAGCCATATGGGACTGGCTTTATAATAACCAGGATATCCTCCAACCAAATAAACCTTATTATCCAGGTAATGGTAAATTTGGAGTGAAAAGGGCCTCTTTTACATGGGCTTTTCAGAAGCTTTATCAAATTAGCTATCCCTCATGGATATTACAAATGCAACTCCCTGCTGGGAACTCAAACCCTTTTTCACCAGAAAAGGTAAAATGGCCTAGGGAGAAGAAATGCTTTCCGGCAACCAGAATATAAAAATGTGCAGGTTAAAAAATTATGAAATTTAAGATGTTTAAACAGGCTTTATGTATGGTAATTGTAACCTCTTTACCTTAATGTCTTATGATAATGGGTATTGTATCTAACAGAGTGTTGTTTCCCCTATCTAGTACTATAAAACCAAAGGCATGTAAATCTGCTCTTTTGAGAAATGTTAACATCACACATGCTAAATTGGAACTAGTAGGATCACCTGGGCCCACAAAGTATAGGGTACAAGCTGGAGTATGAAGCTCTGCTTCATACCCCTTTGTAGAGCATTTATTGGGGCTGAGGGCAAAAAACTATGAGTAGTACTTCCCAGTGATAAAGACTGGACTAGAAAATTTCCACTTGAGGGGCATTAACTGCCCTGCTATAGAATGTTAACTGAAGCTATCCCTATGCTAAAAGAAATAATTATGCCCCAAAGAGTTCTATGAGAAAATATAAGTGGTGGCCGTGCGCAGTGGCTCACGCCTGTAATCCCAGCACTTTGGGAGGCTGAGGCGGGCGGATCACGAGGTCAAGAGATAGAGGCCATCCTGCCCAACATGGTGAAACCCCGTCTCTACTAAAAATACCAAAAAAAATTAGCTGGGAGTGGTGGCGCGCACCTGTAATCCTAGCTACTCGGGAAGCTGAGGCAGGAGAATTGCTTGAATGCGGGAGGCAGAGGTTGCAGTGAGCCAAGGTAGTGCCACTGCACTCCAGCCTGGCGCCTGGTGATGGAGCGAGACTCTGTCTAAAAAAAAAAAAAAAAAAAAAAAAAAAAAAAAAAAAAAAAAAAAAAAAAAAAGAAAAAGAAAAGAAAAGTGGTTTACATAGGATCTTGCTACTGGAAATACAAGGAGGAGATACTCATATGCAGGAAGCCTCTTTCCTTCCTAGGAAACTTTCTAATTATGTGAGGAGCTGCTAGATTCTACAGTGCCGGATAGACAGCTCCCATGAGCTGTTTGGCTTGTGAATGGCATTTCCAAGGTAAACAAACACTTGTTCGAAAGCTGTTGTTCTGGTTAAAGAAGGGTCAAGAAAATCTTTTTCCTTTGAGTTGTTTGGGTGAAATATGTTTTTGTAAGCAAATTACCTTTCTCTCTGAGTTCTACAAAATTCAAATTGTGATTTTATGACAATATAGTTATTTGCATACATCATATAGTTATTTGCATCCAGTAAGAGTCTTTTAAACAGAGCAATTGGAGACACTGGTTCCTTTACCAAGACTTCAACTAAAATAGAATATTTTTAGGTAAAGTTCCAGCAAAGCTAGCTTAAAAGAAGCCTATATAGCCAATTAATTATTGCTGCATTTTAAGCAAATACTAAGGCCAAGTATAATAGGCCTAAAACTTGTTTTTCACACAAATTGGTCTTACTATAATTTGTCTTTAATAGAAAAGGAAGGCTAGAGAAAGAGAACTTGTTTCAAAGGAAAAGTGTAACACTTGATAATAGGTTTCAGCCCTAATTTTGTTTGAGTGCAGATTGAATCATTATTTCTTGGCTACAATAATACTGTAGAGAGTACCAGTTTATAATTTTTCTTCATATTTTTAGATGGTGCCCTAATAGAATAGGTTGCTTTTTATGTTCTAACATCAAATACTTTTTTGATTGTCAAAATATAAATGTTATTTATCTCTTATTGCTTTACTTCCAAGGAAACCAAAATTATGACATTCTGAAGACCAGAGATGCTAATCTCCCTCATTTGGCATCCCACTGGCCCAGATCTGTTTTCCACTGCAAATGCTCTGCTCCCAAAACTATACAAGCACTCCCCCTTTAGGCCCAGGAATGGTCATAGAAGAGGTGGGTACATGAGAATCTAAGGACCAGTTTTGAGAGATAGAATTAAATCAAGGTAAGACGGGATACAAAAATGCCTAAACAAACCTAGTAAAACAAACCTAAGCTATTATGTGTCACTTTTGCATCTACCCCAACCATAAAGAATTTTTTGCTTCCTGTAGAATTAAATGAAAATATTTATTGATGAGATAAAGATACCTTATAACAAAGCCTCCTGGGTATAATGCTTCCAGTTATGAGTTTGCTAAGATCTTTCTATCTATCCATCCGTCGATCGATCGATCTGATTTTTTTAATTTTCAGAACAATGCTTATTTTGTTTGGTTTTTGTTTTAAGACAGAGCCTACCTCTGTTGCCCAGACTGGAGTGCAGTGGCTGATCTTGGCTCACTGAAACCTCTGCCTCTCAGGTTCAAGCAATTCTCATGCCTCAAGCCTTCTGAAATAGCTGGGATTACAGGCATGCACCACAATGCCTGGATAATTTTTGTTTACTTATGTTTTGTATAGCAAGCTGTTATAAGTCTGTAATTAAAACCAAGCTTACAGTAGCTCAACACATAGAAGTAAAAAATAAATTAGTTTTGTAACTTTGCCTTTTGGTTTTTGTTTGTTGGCTTTTTACTTAAAATAATAATTTTAAGAGATAATGAATGCCTGTCCACATCCATTCCTATCTGGCCTGGAGTAATTATTGGCTATACATCTTTTGACTCTTACGGCCCTTGGCCATCGGGAGTCACATCAAGGGATAAGATGGACCTGGGACAGGCTGCCACGCCACCCTGGCAATGCTATGGAACAAAATAAAGATTTGATGGCCTTTATTATTGCCTCTGGTAAATCTTGGCCAGAAGGGGGAAAATTTAAACCAAAGATTAAATTCTAAGCACCCGCAACCATCTGAATGGATTTTCTCCTTGGCAATGGTGCTCTTTAAAATTTAACCTGAGGGGCAGGGCATGGTGGCTCATGCCTGTAATCCCGACACTTTGGGAGGTCAAGGTGTGGGGACCACTTGAGGTTGGGAGTTCAAGACCAACCTGACCAACGTGGAGAAATCCCATCTCTACTAAAAATACAAAATTAGCCAGATGTGGTGGCACATGCCTGTAATCCCAGCTACTTGGGAGGCTGAGGCAGGAGAATCACTTGAACCCAGAAGGTGGAGGTTGCAGTAGCCTGGGCAACAAGAGAAAAACTCCATCTCAAAAAAAAAAAAAAAAATAGTTTCCCTGAGAGACTGTTTCAGGCCATGATGGCAAGTGGGGGTCATACATTATACCTCTCCAGCATTAACATCAACACAGATCCTTAAATCTGATAAAAAGCATTTATAATCTATTCTCTCTGAAGCCTGCTACCTGGAAGCCTCATCTGCATAATTAAACTTTGGTTTCCACAACACCTTATCTTAATCCGGACATTTCTTTCAGTTGATCCCAGGTCTTTAGATAAACTCAGCCAATTGTTAATGAGAAAATTTTTACATCTGCCTATAAGCTGGAAGAACCCCCTCCACCCTTCGAGTTCTCCCACTTTTCTGAACTGAACCAGCATATTTCTTAGATGTATTTGCTTGAAGTCTCATGTCTCCCTGATATGTATAAAACCAAGCTGTGCCCCGACCAGCTCGGCACATGTTCTTATGACCTCCTGAGGGCTGTGCCATGGCCATAATCACTCTTATTTAGCTCTGCATAGATATCTTCAAATAAGAAAATCAACAAAGAAACATTAAAGTATACACTAGACCCAAAACACCTGACATACACAGACTATTTTGCCCAACTGCTACAAAATACACATTCTTTTCATGAGCACATGCAACATTCTCCAAAATAGACTATATCTTCATCCACAAAACAAATCTCAACAAATTCAAAAAAGTAGAAATGATATCAGATATCTTTCTGATCCGAATGGAATAAAACTTGAAATCAATAATAAGAGGAGCCTTGGAAACTACACAAACACATGAAAATTAAATAACATGCTCCTGAATGAACAAGGGACCAATGAAGAAATTAAGAAAAAGCTAAAAATTTTATTGTAACAAAATAGGATTATATTGTACAAAAATATATGGGATACAGCAGAGGTAGTACTAAGAAGGAAGTTTATAGCAATAAACACCTATATCAAAAAGGTATAAGGACTTCAAATAAACAACCAAACAATTGTTGAATACCATGAGTTCCAAATTTCTCTTCAAAGAATCAGTGTGCCAGTATGTTGTTTCTTTGTTCTCCATTTAAAAGTTTAACTTCCTCATTCTCGTCGTCTCCTTGCCCCTAGTTTCAGTAAACAACTTTCCCCCCAGCCCTAATCAGTAGTTCACATCTGTTCCCCTGGTCACCTGCTCTGTCCTGAGTCATCCCCGGCCACTTGCTCTAACTTGAGTCACCTTTAGTCATGTGTTCCGCAACTGTCTTTCCCACCGAAACTGCTCACACTGCCACTCTGGCTCATACCCCTGATCTCTTTAAAATAGCCAATTGGAATTAGCTTAGACTGTGCAGTCCAACCCTAGCCAATAGAAGAACAACACAGCAGTAGGAGCTACCTGTGTCAGGGATGAGAACCACTTCCTCTCCCTTGTTCATGTGTGCTCTCTGCTTCATCCACGAGACGCTCCCTTCTATAGAAGTAAAAATTGCCTTGCTGAGAAAATTTATGTTCAAGTGCTATTTCTTTTGCAGCACCAAAATATTTGCTTCTAACAATGTGGTGGCCCATATGGGGAGCCCATTATCCCCCAGAGAACAGGTGTCCAGTAGCCTCTTGTGAGAAGACGTGTCTCACTGCCTTGTTGCAGTGGCCTTAGGGTGAGAGACTGGGGACCCACCCAGTGTGATGAATAAACCTGGACTCTCAGCAACATGGAAAGAAACTGGCCAGTGACCTGTGGGAAGGGATCCCTGCATACCGCAGCCACCAGATAACTCTGTGCACAGACTAAGGTAAGAAACTCTGTGCACAGACTGACGTCATAAAGGTGTCAAAGTATTTCCTTGGAGGCCAGGATATTCTCGAGGTTAAATGTGTGTGTGAATAATCACAAGGACTACTGACTGTGCTGCTGCTTGTGTGAATGGTACTAAGCAATACTACTGTGCAGAGTGAGTGGGTGCTATCTGCAGTTCCATGGTCACCTCATACAGCTTAGGGTGGATGCTGCCATGGGGATTATACTGGCATGCCGATGCCAAGAGGGACCTGGATCTCCTCCAGGGGAGAAGCCAGAGTGGATGAAGCACAAGAAGGGTGCAAGGAGCCTCCAGTGGGTGGAGCTAAAGGATAGGAAAGGCATTTCTAATATGAGAAATTAAGCCTGATAGCCCTAGCAAGCCTCTAGAGAAAGACAGGTGAGACATTTCTAATGTGAGAAATTGAGCCTAATAGCCCCAGTAAGCCTCTAAAGAAGGATAGGCGAAACATTTCTGATATTATAGATTGAGCCTAACTAGGACCAAATATGGGAAATACCACAAGCAAGACAGAGAGAAAGAAGGATAAAGATGGTAATAAGGATAATCTCCTTGATAGCCTCTGGGTCTCATGTTTAAATACTGGAAGGATAATGAAAGGACTAAACGTAAGAAAATGCAACAAATGATAAAATATTGCTGTTTTATTTGGACTCAGGGACCCAAACTCCAACCGTCAATCTTCTGGCCAAAGCTTTGGTTGAATGAGAATGTAATTTGTCAACTTCTGATTCAATATATTAATGATAGAAGTCCAGTTTCTCAAGGAGAACTGGACTGTGATCTTTGCTGGAGGCAAGGACTTGTCCTCCTTTTTCCCTTAAAAAAAAAAAGAAAAAAACAGGGAAGAACCTAATCTGGCACCTCAAAATGAAAAGTCTGAGGAGCCAGTTCCCATTTCCATGTCTAAAGACTCCTCCAGCACATGGGATCCCCTAGACCATCTCCCCCACTCATTGTCCCCAATTCCTCTCCCTAGGTTGCCACTGCCACTCCAGATCCTTTCCAGATCCTTCACTGTCCCATGTTATTTCTCCTCCTTACAATCCTGACTCTTGGGAATTATCATCCCAAGTGTCTCTCCCTATCAGCCTAAGGAATACCCCCACGCAAGGGGACTCCATCGTGCAATAGAGCAATATAAAAAGCGTATCCAAAACTTCCCTTTTCCCTCTACAGCTAAAGAGTCAGCCCCTGCCCTTTTCCCTTTAAGGGAGATATCACAAGGAGGGGGAGCCATTGGCTTCGTGAGTGCTCCCTTAACCAGTTCAGAAGTCCGGAATTTTAAAAAGGAGCTTAAGCCACTACTAGATGACAATTACGGAGTGGCAGATCAAATTGATCAATTCTTAGGACCTCAGTTATACACTTGGGTCAAGTTAATGTCTGTCTTGGGCATCCTCTTTTCAGGAGAAGAAAGGAGTATGATTTGCAGGGCTGCTATGGTAGCTTGGGAATGTGAGCACTCTCCTGGTCAAAACGTTCCTACCGTGGACCAAAAATTTCCCTCCTGAGATCTCTGGTGGAATAATTACAACTCAGCTCACTGAGAAAACATGAAGGCCAATTATAGTAAAAGGAATTTGGGTATCAGTACTTTGAACCCAAAATCTCTATAAGGCATTTGATATACAACTGGAAAAGGGTGAAGGACCTATGAGATTCCTAGACAGGCTGAAGGAGCAAATAAGGCAATATGCAGGCCTCAATTTAGAAGACCCCTTGGTCAAGGAATGTTAAAATTCCAATTTGTCACTAAAAGTTGGCCAGATATTTCAAAGAAATTACAAAAAATAGAGAATTGGGAAGACCATCTCCTAAGTGAACTTCTCAGGGAAGCTCAGAAGGTATATTTGAGGAGGGATGAAGGAAAACAGAAACAAAAGACAGAACTTAACGTTATCCACCTTCCAACAGATGGCTCCACACCCATGTACTAAGCAGAGCTTCCAGGGGGCCAGAAACTATAAAGGGTTCAAACCCTCCTTTAGAGGACCTAAGCCTCCATCT